AAGTGCACACACACAGGAGCAGGTGCACACACTGGAAGTGCACACACTGGAAGTGCACACACAGGAGCAGGTGCACACACTGGAAGCGAATATTCATAGTACTCACAGTCTCTGCATCACCATAGAAGGCGGCCAGGTCCAAGGCAGTCCGGCCGTTTTTGTCTGTCTGGTCGACCTCTGCTCCTTCTTCCACCAGGTACTGGACCACTGCCCTGTGACCCTTCAGACAAGCCCAGCTCAATGCCGACAGGCCCTCTTTGTCCAGGGAAGAAAGAGCAGCACCTGAGAGAAGAGTCCATTTATAACTGGTAGGCAGAGATGAAGATGTCCCAAAAAGACACTTGGGTCCCCCAATCTACTCTCAGACTATGTTGAACGATGGGTCCCAAACAATAGGAATTTCCCCAAGAATCTCATGCTGAGAGAAGGGGAAAAAAGCACCAGGCAGAGAGAGGGAGAACTTGTCTTCCATAAAGAGATTTTAGAATTTTATCAACTTGTTGGAACTCCTAAGAGGACAAGATGGAAGGCCAAACAATGAGACAGTGATGGGCCAATGGCGGGTGGGACCACACCTTCACAGGACTGCTTAGGTGCATATATCCTTGACCCTTGAGTGAAACCTCAGGACTCCAAAGATGGACTTGAGGCTGCTGGATCTTTGTCCCTCGTCCCATTGAGTAATCTCCCTTGTCTGCTTTCTACTTTAATTTGGTTCTTTTAAATGGCTTACTGAAGAAGGGCATAGGTTGCCCCAAGACTAATAACACATTCACAGAACATGAACAAATCCAGGCTGCTGAGGGTCCTACATGTTAACTTGGGCAGGTCTGCAGAGCTGATGGCAGAGGGTCCTCACCATAGCTCTACCATCAGCACCTGGGCTGCAGCATACCTTAGAAAACATCTAACCGGGAAGTCAAAAGTACAAAGCTCTTCCAGCAAAAGAAGCCAGTGCACTGTAACGCACCATACCTTTAGAGAGGAGAAATTCCACAGTGCTCAGGTGTCCTTCACAGGCAGCCACCATGAGAGGTGTTCGACCCTGCTTGTCACTTAGATTCACGTCGCAGCCACGATCCAAAAGCAATCGGACAACCTGAAAGAAGCACCGAGAATCATCACTGAGAGGCCCATCTCTATACCACAGCCACTTTCTCCGTCTTTCCCAACAGCGGCGTGATACACGGGGCCCAAACCATCTTTCTACTGTATTCATCTCAACAAAACTTTCTATGTATCTCTCAGTATGCCCAGTTATTTTACGTACAAGAATCATATCAGGGAGAAATAGTAGTGGGACATGCCAGTCACTGCTAGGTGATGACAGGATAGCCACTGGGGGAAGAGGTGAGGTTAACTCAGCATAGGAAGGTGCCAGTAGATGCCATTAATGTTCCAAACTGGTTCAGAGGAGAAGCACAGAGGCCTGTGTATCTGGAGTTCTGCAGAGACAGCTCCAACCAACCAGTTACATTCAGTCTAGAGATGGAATGCAAACACTGTGCCCTTCTAAGAGACTTGAGCTTCCTCAGACGTGACAGCCATAGATGATACTGAGAGGGGACTACAGTTATGAGAGAAGGGTCTAAGGCAGGAGAGTGACTCTGAGCCCTTGGTTACATGCTTTGCTAAGATGCAGCACAAGGCGGTAGCTTGTCTTCAGAGGACAACTGTTAGCAAAGCTTCTCGAACCAAATTTTCAAAAATGGCAATGTGCTTTCTGCCGTGCATACTACTAACATTGGGGAGAAAAATCAGAAACCCAGGAAGGAGTCCCATGTACTCCTTGTGCTGGAGGAAACAACTTTATCCATTGAGTCAGCCTAGAGATTGCCTGGGCACATTACCTGCCTGTTGCCAGAGGGGCAGAAGTAGCATAATCCCATGTTCTCACTTCATTCATCAGCAAACTCCTCCCACCTTCCCCGTGAGTTAGGAAACACTGAGACAGGCAGAGGGTTAATCACAGGCACCTATTCTGTAATGAGTGGCCTTGTGTGCACAATCCAGGTGTAACAGGGTACTGACTGCGGGCAGAGATGTGGTCACTGTTTTAAAACAAAGGAAGAAGCTGTTGGACAAAGATGCCCTGTTCCCTTGAATTAAAGATGGTGTAAGAATGGCTATTCCAAGAAGTACCCTCACGGCAGCCCTCTTTCAAATATATTGTATGAATACACTACAGAAATAACAGTGGCAGATATGCCACCACAGTGAACCTTCCTCCCCTGTAGTCCAGCCCTCTTGGAGTTAGGGAAACCACTGTGGCTCTGGCATGGCTGTCAGTCTGTCGTCTGGCTGACTGTGTTGTGTCTGTCATGCTGGCCTCTGAGTAGTCACAAGGACATGGGAAGAAGCCAGGGAGGAGAAAGAGCCTCAAGGGTCACAGGTGGTCTCAACAGTGAACCTCATCCCCACCCACTGCTCCTGAAGCATCCAGGGGACCCCTGGGTACCTGCCAATGCCCCTGGCGGGCTGCACAAAACAGAGGGGGAACCCCTCTCCTGTTGGGCCGAGACACGGCAGCTCCATGCTCCAGCAGCAGCTCGCAGATGTCCAGCTTTCCTCTCCCAGCAGCAGCAGTCAGTGCTAGACAGGGAAGGGTAGAGGGGACCATCAGTAGGTGCAGAGCTAAGGTCTTGAGCATCTTATCACCTCCAGTGTGTGTGTCCTCTCCCTGTTAACCTGGGTGGGCCCTGTGATAGCTGTGGTCCACTGAGCACAGAGGCACTACGCTAACGTCCAGCCCTGGGTCTCTGGAAACAGGCAACTTGCACCGCACTGGAAGCCAGCTGCTAAGTTGTGAGATAGACCGAGCATCTCTAGGGTGAGACCGATGAGGACAAACTGAAGGTACATGGACTTGACAGCCTAGCAGACAGCCAGCACTGTCAGGCTAGCTGTATGTCAGCTGCCCTATGTAGGTTTCCAACTCAAGTCAAGCTACACCACCTAGGGCTATGAAGGCAAAGACACCTTAGCAACCCCTACCAGGCTCTGTTTAAACCACAGAGTCACTAAGTTTGGGTTCTGTTTTGCTCTACAAGAGAAACGAGAAAATCGCAGCACAGTATTTCACAGACAGACTAGTGTTAGACTCAAAGCTGGTCTCTTAGCCTTGAGTCTATAATTATAGAGGGGCTGGAGAAATGGCTGAGCGCCAAAGAGCGCTCACTGCTCTTCTAGGAGACCCCAGCTCAGTTCCCAGCATCAAGCTGCTCACAAACTACCTGTCACTCAAGCTCCAGAGGATCTAATGCCCTTTCCTGGCCTCCACAGGCCCCCTCATTCCTGTGGTATATACATACAGAGACATAAACAAAATTCAAATTTTTTTTCAAATAAAAAGAATTACTGAGACAATCAAAAGCACCCATCAGCCAGGCAGTGGTGGCGTGTGCCTTTAATCCCAGCACTTGGGAGGCAGAGGCAGGCGGATTTCTGAGTTTGAGGCTAGCCTGGTCTACAGAGTGAGTTCCAGGACAGCCAGGGATATACACAGAAACCCTGTCTCAAAAAAAAAAAAAAAAAAACCCCAGGAAAAAAAAAGCACCCATCATTCCTGTCTTGCCAGAACCTCTTTTAACAAGTCAGATTCTATATCATAAGAGGAAAAATGAGGTGCTGGGGTGGATGCCACTGGGATCCGGTGGTGAAGGACAGCTCCAGTGGGAAAGAGCGATCACGTGACTGGCAGTGCCTCAACTCAAATACATCCTGGCTTCTGCTTTGTCACATGAACTATGACCAAGAAAGGACAATAGCAAGTGTCAGTGACAACCCAGGCTTTTCAGTGGGGCAAAGGGGCAGTATGGCTCTGAGCCACACAGGACAGATGCTCCCCAGAAGGGGGCGACCTGGGATGTTCGTGGTACCATTCCCACGCCTGCTTGGAAGACTGTTTTTAAATATATCCTTAATTTCCAGCTTCCAGAAGATAGCAGCATTTTCACGAATGGGTAGAAGAGGAAGACTTCTCAATTACAAATGGGAAACAGAAGAAACAAACCCTTCACAAAAGAGCAAGTCGGTGCCAGTGATCCCATGAAAGTGGCCGTCCTCTGCAGCAGCCCGCGGAACTGAGAGAGGAAGGCGCACGAGGGGCTACCCACCCCTCACTGGTGGGAATGACCGCAGCAGACAGTAGTTGGGAAACAGGTCAGGTGAATGCACAATTGTGTGGCAGTGCTCTTCACATGGCCTCAAGCTGGACACCACCCACACTGCCATCAGTAGTGGGAATCGCCAGTGAACAACGCTGTCATGGGCTGGGACATTTACACATGCCCCACACCTAAACACACAACTCAGCAACACAACAGACCAGTCTTACACACTTGACTCAGTGAGTGGCAAAGAACACCGAGTAAAAGCCCATACTGCAAGAGCAGTCCTTTTGGAAAGAGTGGGACCTAAGGTCGGCCTTGTCATCAGAGCCGGGCACTTGGTGATGAGAACCTCAGAAGCCTATGTTCAGGGAGGCTGCTTCCCATATAAACACATGCATAGACCTGTCTCTCCAGACGCCTCCCACACAGCTGTCTGATGCTTGCTCCTCCTGGGGCTTTCTATACATAGTATGATATCAGAGTTGGCTCCCAAACCTCTGCCCTCTGCTCACAGCTACGCCAACTTCTCCTACACATGGGCCTGGTGACTGAGGTTAACCATGACACAGGCTGACAGACACGGATACAAACACATATACTGTAGACCAGACAGCAGGTTCTGATACTGCTGACATCACCCGAGTCTTACTCCCAGCCTTCTGCAGGAAGAAAGGAATAAGGCAGGAGCTGTGAGAGGGAGCAGATTACCAGGGAAGACTCATCTTGGGGGCCTAGCATCTGAAGCACAGAAAGGCAGGCCAGTTCTCATTGTGTTTCTGGTCCCAAGCCTGAGGCATGAATGCAGACCCTTCAGTCAGGGAACTGTCTGTCTTTCAGTAGCTTCCTCATGAGTGGGTGAGCCTCCCCAGTAGCTGAGGAGGTGAGGGGCATTCTGCAGGCCTGGCTCCACCAGACCACCCTTGCTCATGGTGACCTCCTCTGCGCTCAGCGACACATCTGCTTCTTTCTCAGGGAGTAGGTCAGCACACCTCTCCAGGAAAATGTGTTCAAGGGACACTGTTCTGACTGACCTCAGTCTCTTGATTTTGCAGTGAACAGCACAGCAGGAGCAAGTCAGGGGACCGGAGGAGGCAGCAGACTGGAAGCTGACACCAGCCTTTTCAGGTCTGACCGTGAGGACTCGTGGGCAAGCATCTGCTGGCTGTCAACGTGTTCCATAAACAAAGCATGGCACATCCTAATAGCACTGTCTCAGCATCAGTGGGAGAACGCTGCTCCAGGAAGCAGGACTGCCCCCTTTCTGCTCTCCAAGGAGGTGATATAGGAATCAATGCCTAGGCAGGAACTACAGGCTCTAGCAGAAGGAGCAGGGGAACACCACACAGAATGGTCCAGGACTCAGAGGACTGAGGGGTTAGAATGGAGCAGAGTGCTCCAGCATGCAGGGGGTTCTGGATGAAACAGAAAACACTGCTCGGTGTATTCTCTACATTCGGCCAATAGGGTTTCCTCATTTGTAGTTAAGTGGTCAAACCAGGTCAGAGAAGAGCCCTAAGGATCATCAAATGTTTAATTCAAACATTTGATTTCATTAAATATACCTTAACTATTGAAAAACTTGTAGTAAACACAATGTCCTCCGCCATATCTACTAGCGCTGCATCTTAACAGGCAGAGGCCACCGAAGCACACTCATAGGAGTGACCAGAGCATCAAGCCTGTGGTTGTTTGAATGTGAACAGGTCCCACAGGCTCACAGATTTGAATGCTTGGTCACGAGAGAGTGACATCATTTCATAGGATTAGAGGGTGTGGCCTTGTTGGGGAAGTGTGTCACTGGAGGTGAGCTTTGAAGTGTTCAAAAGCCTAAGCCAGCCCCAGTGGCCCTCTCTTCCTGCTGCCTATGGATCCAGATGTAAGATTCTAGGCTACTTTCCAGCACCATGTCTGCCTGCACACAGCCATGCTTCCTACTGTGAGGATAACAGGCCAAGTAAGCTTCTGAACCTGTAAGCCAGCCCCAATTAAATGTTTTCCTTATAAGAGTTGCCATGGTCATGGTCTGTTCACAGCAACAGAACACTGACCAACACAATGCCAAAGGGCAGCCTTTCAAGTGGTTCTTTAGCTTATTAAGTCAAACAAGTTCTTAACTGTGTATGTGTGTGTGTGTGTGTGTGTGTTGTGTGTTGTGTTATACAGACAGGCTCCTGTCCCTAAAGAGGAGAAGACATTCAAATCTGTGCGGGATGTGTGTGTGTCTATGTGTGCGTGTGTGTATGTGTGTGCGTATGTGTTGTGTTATGCAGACAGGCTCCTGTTCATAAGGAGAAGAAATTCAAACCTGTGGGGTGTGTATGTGTGTTGTGTTATGCAGGCAGGTTTCTACTCATAAGGAGAAGATATTCAAACCTGTGTGTGTGTGTGTTTTCTGTTATGGAGACAGGCTCCTGCTCATAAGAGAAGATGTTCAAACCTGTGGGGTGTGTGTGTGTGTTATACAAACAGGCTCTTGCCCCTAAGGAGGAGAAGACATTTAAATTCAAACCTTCACATAGACTTGAACGGAAAGATAAACACTCAAGTCAGTTTTATGTATTGATGAACTGTGTGGTAAAGGCAAAGAAGTCATCTTACACTCACAAAGCCAATGGCCAAGGTGGTCCAAACCAGATGAGAGTGTAAGCCAGCTCCCGCTGGTGCTGCAGGGAGCCCCCAGTACAGTCTGCTCTTGCGCAGTGATGGCAGTGACGGTGCTCATGACTGCTAAGAAGTGATGCTTGCAGTACCGTGCATTGTAGAAGAGCGGAGTATGCCACCCCCAAATCTGCCTCTGGCAGGCAGAAAAAGTAACTATACTGAGAAGCTCAGATGCCCCAAGAAGCTCTGAGTACAGATGAGCTGCTCCGTTTTGTGTGGGAACCTGACATCTCTGTGAGAATTCTCCCTTGACAGGCACTTCTCCTCTGTCCAGGGAGGACCAGAAATGAATTCACTGAAGAACATCACACTTGTGGCCTCGCCCATGTTACCTGTGTCTGTCCCACAGCTCATGCAGAAGCCGAGTCAGAAGCCTGAGTCTGAGCAGCCCCTGTGAGCTATGCTTACTTCTCTCTCACGCATACCTCAGTCCCAAAGGGAATGACACTGGTGAGCGCTGATCCAGCTGACATGCTTTTTGTTACAGAAGTCTGTCCCTAGGGGTTTTGAAGGATATAAAAAATTGTATTGTATTCTTCTCTTATAATATACATTATCTCAACTGATCTTGCAGGAGCCCTCAAGTGTTCATGAAAGATCTTGGTGTCAGCTGTTGCTCTGGAATTTTCCTCCACTCAGAGACTCTCCTCCTCCTTCCATGGCTGTACCCAAGTAGGAGGAGAAAGAAATCAAAGGTGCACAGGGACACACACGTGTATACACACAGGGACATAGGAGTCCACGGAAAGAGACGAGTCTAGTCTAGCATTTGGTGAGACTGGATGGTCCACCTACTAAATACTCCCTTCTCTCATTTAG